CCCCCCCTCCGCCCGCCGGGAGCGGCCCCGAGCTCAGCTCAGCTCGGCTCAGCCGGAGGTCCCGGCGGCCGGTCCCGGAGCCGGCGCCAGGCCAGGTCTCCCTCGACAAGGGGGCCCGGTGTTCGTCGTGCCGCTCGCCCCCCCGCATCCCTGGCCTGGGGTCCCGGGGTTCCCGGTGCCGCCACAGGCCGGCCGGGGGTCCCGGTGCCTTCCCCGCCCCACCGGCCGGTCCCACCTGGAAGACGTCGTTGGCGCACTTGCGGCAGAGGTTGTGCTGGCAAGGCAGGATGACCACGGGCTTGGAGAACATCTCCAGGCAGATGGGGCAGATGAGCTGCTTCTCCAGGCTCTCCATGCTCCGCGCCTCCGCCAGCAGCGGCTTCAGCCCCACCGCGAAGTTCATGGCCGCGACCCCGGCCCAGCCCGGCCCGGCTCTGCCCCTCGGCCCCACTCCGCTCCGCTCCGGCCGCCCGTTACCCACTCTGTCGCGGCCCCGGCCCCGGCCCCCAGCGCTAATTTTAGCCGCCCCCGCCCCGCCAGGGCCGCAGCTGTCGGCGGCGTCGGGTGACACTGAGTCACGGCGCCGCGGCGGGGGCCACCGGCCCTGCCCGCCCCCCGGGACCGCCTGAGCCCACCAGGGACCGGCTGGTCCCGGCACCGTCTGACCCCGGAACCGGCTGATCCCCCGAGACCAGCTGAGGCCCTGGGATGGGCTGAGCCCTGGACTGGCTGAACTCCGAGGACTGGTTGACCCCCAGGGACCAGCAAACCCCTCCACCGTGCGCATCCCACCCCATCCCAGCCCGGAGCCCTCGGCCCAGGCAGCCCCAAGTGCCTCGGTGAGCAGTGCTGCTCCCCAGGGCTCCCCCGCTGCCTCCCACCTGGGGAGGACAAGGTCCCAGGGGACCAAGGCTGGCTGGTGCCGGGGCCATAGAGCCAGAGGGGAGCAGGGCCCAGGCAGAGTGGGATTGGGAGTAATACCGGTGGTGGGGGGTGCCCCCTCCTGCAAGCAGCTGGGTCAGGGGAGGTTGGGATCCCCCAGACCCCACAGTTCAAGCCCAGTGTCATCAGGGTGGCAATACTGGTGCCAGGGCCCCTCTGTCTCCACTCACCCTGGAACCCTGGCTATATTTAGGGGGTGAGACAGAGCCCATGCAGCTGCAGATAGAGGCAGTGACCAGGGGTGGGAGGAAAGGGCAAGGGGCTCACTGTGTCCCCCTCAGCCCCCTCCCTGACAGCCCTAGACCTCCACGGGGCCACAGCTCCCTAGAGAGCAGGGCAGGAGCAGGTTGCCTGGCCAGGCAGTGGGGAGCAGGGCTCCAGGACTGCAGCAGCAAGGAGAGGGAAGAGAAGAGAGCCTATGGGAGCCAGCAGCAGGGGACACAGAGTGGTTCCAGGTGGGTGGTAGGACACAAGTGACACTCACCCCACTCAGGACATGACCTGCCTACCCCATTCAGCTCACCACCCCATGGGACCCATGGGCACAGCCCCCAGCACGACAGGACCAGGCAGAGGCACATCCTGCTGCGGAGCATTCCAGCAGCCCCAGATTAGCCGAGGCAGACACGAGCTCCCCTCCCATCAGCCTTTAATGGTGCCCACAAGACCTAGAGGGCAGAGGAAAGGGGTACAGACAGCAGCACCCCGACCCCACAGCAGCGTTTGGCACCCAGCACCCATCGGGAGGGTCCCATGAGGGGGGAGTGGGCTCAGCCCAGCCCCAGAGGTTACAGTGTGAATGGTCTCGGACAGCTCGGCTGCCTCGCCTGAGCTACAGAGCCGGGCCTGGAGTGCTCTCTGCTTGTGCTCAGTGCCCGGCAGGGCACGGCAGCGGGCGAGGCACTGGGGGGGTTGCAGCAGGGTGGGCTCTGGGCCACCACCACCACCAGTGCTGGGACGCAGGGGCATCGCCCCGGAGCTTGAGCAGGGGCCCGGGAGCCTCTGCATTGATGCTGGCCAAATTAACCTGAGATTATACCCCTGCTGGGGCTGGAAAGCCAGCCCAGAGGGTGGGACCAGGGTCCCGGAAAGTGACAGTCCCAAAGGAGGATCCATGCCTCGAGTCCTGGGGGAGCCAGCGGGAAGGGGTCAGCCTCAGGCATCAGCACTGGTGCTGGCAGCCGGCAGCGGCTCCGTGCTGGCAGGTGGGGGCTGTGCCACAACAGGGATTTGCGGATCTGAAAAGGAAGAGCTGTAGATCAGTGGCTCAGCCCCACCCCGTGGTGCCAGCGAGCAGGAATCTGGGGTGTCCCCATACCCCTGCAAGGGCTCCCACAGCCCAGAGCTCCCACACCCAGAGCAAGGGCTCCCACAGTGCCAGCGCAGAGCCCTGTGGCAGTGCCCCCACCCCACAGAAGCCCGTGGCACTCACCCAGCGTCAGCCCCATCGACACCAGCATTGCCAGTGCCAGAGAATGGAGCCAGCCTGGAGCATGGCTGCTCTTCCCATGCTCCATACCCTAGAGAGCACAGGAGAAGGGTCTCCGAGCCACAGGTTGATTCAGGGGGGCCCTTTCCCAGGGGCAAATGGAGGAGGAGAAGGCGTCTCCATGGCCCATCCAGTGACTCCCTCTGTCACTGTCACCAGCCCTTGCTCACACAGAAAACACCGAGGGCTGGCTGGCTGTGGCTAAATCTGACCCAAGCCCTGAGCCAGAGCTCCATCCCCCATGTGAGATGTGACAGGGGGAGACCCCAGAGCCCTCAACAAATCAAATGCAGGCAGTTCCAGCTGCTGGGGCTCCAGCCCGACCCAGCCCAACTCACCACTGTCCTCCGCGCGCATCTGCGCCTCCAGGTCCTTGGGGTCCACGTACTTGTAGGACTCTTCCTCCTTGGGCGGGCAGCATGTCCCGCAGCAGAAGAAGCAGCAGCAGCAGCAGCAGCAGCAGGTGAGGGCACTGCAGCACAGCGCCAGCGCCTGCAGGAGGGACGGAGGCGCCGTGAGCTCACCTGAGCCCTGTCATGCTGGTCCCGTGAGCCCATACAAGCCCCTGGCCTGCCGGGAGAGACGGTGGCCCACTGAACCCATGGATCTGGATGATGCCGGCTCACCTTGAACCACCACTTGGACATGAGGAAGTAGTGCCGGACGGCATCGTCACCGAACTGCTCGGCCACATAGAGCCCGAGGGAGCCGTACTGGTCGTAGAGGCGGCGCTTGTCCGCGTCGCTCAGCGTGGCGTGGGCGCTGTTGATCTCCTTGAACCGCTCAGCCGCCGCCGGGTCATCGGGGTTCTTGTCCGGGTGGTACTTGAGGGCCAGCTTCCTGCGGGGCGCGGCGGGGGGACCCCCGGCATGGGGTCACGGCCTCGCTCCCCGGGACAGACCCAGAACCCCGGGATGGGAGCACAGCCTCGCCCCTCGGGACAGACCGAGGCCCCCGGGGTGGGACCGCGACCACCCGGGCGGGATCCCGGCCGCGTTCCCAGGACGGACCCACATGCCGAGGCTCGCGGGACGACTCCCCGGCCGGTCCCCTCCCCGGACCCCCCCGTACCGATAGGCCTTCTTGATCTCCTCGGGGGAGCTGCCCTTCTGCAGCCCCAGCACGCGATACAGGCTCTCCCCGACCCGGGACAGCTTCCGCTGCGGCCGCGGGGGCTCCGCCATGGCCGCGCCGAGGGCCCGGGGGTCGGAGTGGACGCGGCACCGACCGCCCCGGACCGGCCCTGCCCGCGCCCGCTTCCGCCCGCTCTGCGCACGCGCCGCCCGCGCCCCGGCACGGAGGGCACGGCCCGGACAGACCGTACGGGGGACACCCGCACCGGGGACACCC